CCATATGTCAGATTGTGCTGTCAATCTCTCACAATAAGCAATTTTTTCTCTGTGATATATTGATCATGTATACCTATGGATCTATCAGTTATTTTTTTGGTATACAAGGCAAGTAATAAAATGACAAGTCACTCTATGGCATCACCCCAGCTTTCACACAAAGTTTAACAGAAAGAATAGAAGAATGATTAAACTCTCTTAACTCCTGGCTTCACTGAACAATTAAACACTCACTTACTGCATACAGAAACGGTTTCATCACAAGGATAGATTTTTCTCTACCATGGTGCATGATCAGTTTGGGTATTAGCACAAGTGTCTATTTTAGAAACATGGATACAGCATCAGTCCAGAATACAAGGCCCCTTTCTTTTTACCAGAAGCTTTGGACCACTCAAGAAGATCATATGAACAAATCATCCTACTTCCAATGTACTCAAATATCATTATTTATCATGTATCACTATCCACCAAGACCATAGTACTGAACTGGGAGCAAGATTGACAACAAAACTTTAGAAAGATGTGCCACAAAACGCAAATTTGTAGACTCATAAAACTACAGAACAAACTGAGAAGTTAGTCGATTAACCTCTAAAGATTCCAAAAAATAAGAAAACAGAAACAGAAGACAAAACAACAAAGTTATTCTCAACGAAGCCAGAAGAACAACCGAAAACGGGAAAACAAACTTAATTCGATACACTGACAGCCATATATATATGTATATTGAAGACTTCATAAAAATTTCAGCTAGGTACAAGGTTGAAGAGTTCGATATAGTTGTCAAGGGCAGTGAAGGAGGACTACAGCATAACAAGCAAAAGCATTTCCGAAAACACAACTACTTTGGGAAACCAACAAGAAAGCATTCGAGCAAACAGGAGTTATCTAAAAAAATAAAAAGCTACGGCGAGAGTATAAAAAAAATTTAAGCTGGAACTCAAGCAGATAGGTCCATAGTTGAAATTTAAGTATATTATTATATTATGCACATAATCAAAAGGGACAAGAAGCTTCTAGCAAAAAAGTCAAAACAGTGCAAGTTCAGAAGCGTCAAAGCTAGTCAAACTCAAGCTCTCGCCTAATCTGATAGCATACAAGTTGAAATCCACTCACTCAGTTGCTTCAAGTAGATCTAAATCCGAAAACAGATGTCTATCACCCCGGAAAGGATTTGAAAGTTTCATGCAAAGTTGGAATCAGAAATCGAACAAACAAGGGAAGAAATTCAAGAGCCAACCATATCTTACCTTTGAGCTGGAAGCGAGGACTGAGAATCGACGTTGACGATGGACATAGTTGTGGTACCTCACTATCTTTCGCTGAGAAACAAAGTAGACGATTGATTTTATTTCTAATGGGTGTAGAGAGAGAGAGAGAGAGAGAGAGAGAGAGAGAGAGTGTGTGTGTGTGTGTGTGTGAATATATGTAAGTCTCCATGTATAGTAAGTGACTAAGCGGAGACTTACCTCTGGTTTGTGATTGCATTAGCCTCACTTTGCGGAACATGGAATCTGATTCAACAATATTCCAGGGGAGAAGATCAAGTTTAAGGTTACCATTACTGTTCCCTTTTTTTTTTTTTTTTTTACGCCACGGTTATTACCCATCACTTCTTACCGCATTTCCCGTCGCCGGCGGCCAGGTTTCAGCGGCTTTTGCTACCAATTATCATTAGAGCTTTTAATCAGAGCCAGCCCTTAAAGGATCAGGGTCTAAATAGGCTGATCCTAATAAATTCAATTGTATGTCAGGGTTTCATTTTATAAGGCCTGACTCTAACCTCGGGACCTTTTCCCTATTTTTTTTAAAATTATTTTTTTAATTTAAAATTATAAAAAATATATTTATAATCATAAAAAAGTTATTATACATAAAATTAAGTTTAAAAAAATAAATTTAAATTAATTTACACTACAACAATAAAGAAAACTAAAACATTTAGGTTTAATATCAAATAGTAACATCAAAGTTAACACCAATAAAAACTAGACTTAAATAATATTATCAGCTAAATCTTAATAAATAAATGAGGAATGAATGAGTGCATTTAATATGTTTATTTCTTTAAATTATATATTTAATCTTTTATTTTTATATTATAATTTTTTAAAAAAATAATAAAAGGGCTTAAAAGGGCCGGCTCTTTTATTTTCGTGTTTAAAAGGGCCGATCCTTTTAAACCCGAATTATCATTTTTCCTTTCAAAACAGCAGCTCGGCCTCAGTTATTTTCAAACTTAAAAGGACTAGCCTGACGAGCTCGGCCCTAATTGACAGCTTTAATTACCATGTCTTTAAAGTTTCAACCTTATTTATTTATTAGTTAGTAAATCAAAACTCTTACAAAATTTAGTTCTTTTAATTAAATTATATAGATTAAAGATGTTGATTATTTTAAAATATTCTTTTTAATTATTTAGCACATTGGAATATGAAATTTGGTGCAATCAATGGGGGCAAGTGAGGGAAAAAAATGAAAATGTGGAAGACAGAAAATTGAGATCCTACATTACATTAAGACCAGAATAGTTCTCTTAATTATCTTCAACGTTTGATACTAGAAATAGATTTTAGTTCTGTGTCCTGTTCTAAAGGTGGTCCCATGTCGTTTGAGTTTATGATGAGACAAAAAAATCTCAATAAACAAAATAAGGTGAAAGAGAATAGATGAAAAATCAAAAATTGATCTTCTATTTTTATTTTTTATTTTTAAAAACTGATTTATAATACAAATTTTAAAATTATTTTTCAAATCAAAATAAAATAAAAATTTATTTAGTTATATTAATTTAAAAATAATTTTAAAATTAAAAAATAAATCAATAGTAATAATTATAAATAGTTAATAATAATGATTTGCGATAGAAATTAATCAACATAACTATAATTTTTAATAATCAAATGTAGTATATTTTAAAAATAAAAAAATAAAATGAAAACAACTTAAATTTATTTTTACTTTTTTGTTTTAAAAAGCAAAAACAAAAACAGTTTTAAAAATAATTGAATCAAAAACACTAATCCAAGTTAATTTTTAAATTTTTCTGTTTAAAAAAAGTTTTTAAAAACTGAAAACAATGGAAATGTGAAAACGTTTCGAGTATGATATAATAGTAGTTGATAAATATTATAATATAAAATAATATTTCTTTTTTATTTTCGCTCATTCTTTCTTTTCTAATGCCATTATTAGCCTATCACAACAAACTTGACCTAACTCATTCCCCATGGCTTGGTATACCAATCACTTGAAGATGAGCCGCACAATTTATTCTGTCGTTTTGATATTTCCAATTTTGACTAATCTCTCATTATTTTCAATTTCATTTTTGGCATTGCACTCACATGTGGATTTCTTTGATAATAACTTACATGGGTTTAGTACATATATTTTTATATTCATGGGTTGTGCTATCTTTTCTTTTCTTTTTGATGTAGTGAGATTATGGAAATGGTGGATTTACTCGGGTGAGATTTATAGCAATTAGATATAGGTTTGTGGCTTTGTTTGTTTCATCCTTTATATAATCAATGAACTTTTTGTTTATTTAGTATGGCTTAAAAGGTATTTAATTACAGATATTATAGTATGGTGCATCAATGAAATGATGAGTTTTGGAGTTCCCAGTTTAGGGGTTATATTATAATTCCGTCGGATCAAAATATAAATAATTTTTTTACAAAATTCATACATTAATAAAGTTTTAATTTTAATAAAATATATATTATTTTCTTTTTTTTAATTTTTAATCCTAATTACCAATATATTTTATGATGAGTGAGAAGTAAATTTGCACAAGAATATAGGGTAATAAATATAAGTAGTAAAATAGAAAAAAAGTTTTTTTAACATATATTAAATTACTTATGTTATAAATTAAAATTAATTGAAAAAATGCTTATATTCTAAATCAGAGGGAGTATAACTTGTATAAGATGTCTTGCAGTGAAAGATAAGTGGAATGGGACATGTTAGAGCCATGGACTTCAGAGACTGAAAATTTGGGAGATTGGGTCACCAGTGGTGTTCGTATGCATATAAGACTATATCAAATTCTATGGGTCCACTTAAAACACATGATATTCTAAACTTTTATTTGATATAATTTTTGTTAATATTTAAAAATAATACATTAAATATCCTGTCATTTAAAATGTTAATCTTGACTATTCATTAACTTAAAAATTGTAGAAAAGACCTTAAACATTATAAAAAAAGACTCGTAAAATTATTCTATAAAAAAATCAATATTAATTAAGTCATCTAAATTACATATAAATAATATGATACAAATGTTATTTTTTACCCACATAAAGGTTAGAATATGATTTTGAGTAACCATTATCTTGGGGCCTTACTTAATATTAATTTTCTTATAAGTTACTTATTTACAATTTTATGGACCCTTTTCTGTAATTTTTTTATGTCTTTCTTTACAATTTTTTTCAATTAACAAATAGTTAAAGTAAATTTTTTTTTAATGGCTGGTGCCCAATGCAGCATTTTAAACTATTGAAAGAGAAAAATGTATCACGTTTATTTTGAGATACTAGATGCTCTTGAGTCAATAGTTGAAGTGTAAAAATATTTTCTAACCCTGTATTTTTTAAACATAATAATTACCAAACATAATGGTTGGCATTATCAGTATAACTCACCCATTATTACTCCTGACCATCTTAAGTCAAAGCTACACAATGCTAACTCCATGATCAATAATTTAAATTACTGAGTGTTCCTTTGCAAATACTTGAAGAGTAAGCTGGTCCACTTGGCAAATCAAAAGGCTAAGTATTATTACCAAAAAAAGGCTTAGAATCTGGGTTTAAAAAAAGAGGCAAACCGGTGCGGTCCAATACAAAGATGGACTTTTTCTTCATAATAACCCATTTCACTCGGATCACAAAAATGGGCTTTCTTAATGGATACTCATTCAAGTCGGACTACCCGACCCTGAAAGATGTAGGGTTTTGATGGGAAATAAGAAAAAGCTAGGGTTTTTGCGGGTCTCGATATAAAGAGATAGTCCTTATCTTCTTGTATGGTTAAGCCTTCCATTTCAGTGAGGTAACCATCTTACTGACGATTCGAAGAACCGCAGTTCCTAACAAATTTAACAAAAGGTACTGGCTTTTCTGCTCAAATTCATGCTTCCGATGTCGTTTCGATGTTATCGATTTGACTGAGAATTTCTTATTACCATCGGTCACATTTCTGGCGCTGAATTGACGTGGATTGGCTTTGTCGAGTGTTTCCGTGATGGTTTTAGTTTATATTTGGGTCTGCTTCTGAGCTCCCGATCGAAGATGGGGTGTACAAGTGATTTCTATATTCTTGGTTGTATTGATTTTCTCGTCTTGCTTTTGGGATTTTCGAATCGGTCGATACCTGGAAGTGAGATTTAGTAGGGATTTTGGATTCGTGTTTCTTTTATCATATCATAAACTTTTCAATTTATTATTGTTGACACTTCTATTATAGTATAGTGCACTGGTGAAATGCTGGGCTTGGGAGCTCCTTAGTTCATTGAAGCTTATGAATTTATGTTTTTCGTTGAGAACTAGCAGTTAGCGATGTTTCTGGCAGAAACTTATCCAGGGTTTAGACTGAAACAACATATAAGGATTCTTTATTTTCTCGTGAGTTGAAACATGTACACACATGCACCCAAGTGAGTTTGAATAGATGCAGAGGATGGATTAATTGACCTCTTGTATCAATCAAAATAAATGTTACTCCTCTAAATAGCTTTTTTATAAAATGATTTTCTTACAATCTTCTTCATTGAATCAATCGTTCTTATCTTGAATATCATCCTTCTAAAATTGTTTGGTGCCCCACCATTAAATCCAAAAACTAGCATACAATATGCATTTCAAATACACAAAACTAACAAGTAATTGATTACACAAATTGTGATGTAATTTTTATAAAAATTTTCTATGGGGTATTGATATCATAATTTTATCTACTCCGCAAGATGAATCAATATCGATGTCATCCTGATCCTATTTTACAGTAGTAAAAGGCATAAAAGCTTGATGTCTAACCCCAGTGTCAATTGACACTTGCCCACGTTCTGTATATGTGCATGCATGTGTGCTTCTGTTTGTTAATTGATTCTTGCTCTCGGTGCGTGTGTGTGAGTGAATCAATTGATCCTTGCTATAACAGTGTGTTCAGGTTTTGGGGTTGTATTGCAATTCTCTTCTTAAAAGTTGATTGTCCATTGATCACCCTGCACCCGCTGCCCTTTTTTTAATTTTTACTTTTTTTAACTCTTGCTTGTAGCATTATCATTTCCTTTTTTTTTTCCAATTACATCGAGACTAAGTTTAATGAACTAACTGGAGAAAATAAAGTCTGATAAAAAAAATTTATTTACTGGGTTTTAATGCTTTTGTTTCTCAAACAGATGAATCGGGAAAAGCTGATGAAGATGGCTGGTTCAGTTCGAACTGGTGGGAAGGGTACCATGAGGAGGTGGGCTTACATCTTGAACTCATGATATTTCTTTTAACCTTGAAAGAAATCATTGTTTCTTGGCATCTACTGCTGTAAGAATAAGATCTGTTATGTTTTTGCACGTGTTATTGGACTATTAATTGTATATGGACATCTGTTCTTTTGCTTATTTTTTGGCATATCCTTCATTGCACACTTATATATTGCCTTAGCTAATTCTTTGTTTCAACTTTCCGGATTTACCATATTGTTGTTATCAGTTTTTGTTGAATGATGGTCTAATTGATGCCTTTAATATTTTATGATTTGTTGCATATGATGAGTTTTTGATGAGTAATGGGACCATATTTTTGTTCTTTGCTGTGTTTTCTGTCACTTATAGGAAGAAGAAGGCTGTCCACAAGACAACGACCACAGATGACAAAAGGCTTCAGAGCACTTTGAAGAGAATAGGGGTGAATGCGATACCTGCAATTGAGGAGGTCAACATTTTCAAGGATGATGTAGTCATCCAATTCCTAAATCCTAAAGGTAACATAAATTGGTGGTATTTTGGCTGTGTTCTTTTATCCTATCTTTTAGTGTGTCAACATAAAATTATTTAATATTTTTTTTGCAGTCCAAGCATCCATTGCTGCTAACACGTGGGTTGTCAGTGGTGCTCCTCAAACAAAGAGTATGCATCCTTTCCTATGACTTGATAATTATCTAGCTTGTACTGGTGGGGAGTTTGCAGACATGAGCATTCTTCTCATTTCTATTCACATTCATTACTGTTATGAGTATTGATTAACTTGACTGTTTGTGCCTCTGAATTTATGCCCCGTGGTAATCTAGAATGACATTCTATTTTCCATCTTTATCTTCGCGTTTTGCAGAGTTGCAAGATATACTTCCTACTATTATTAACCAATTAGGTATGCCCTTTGCACATCCTCTCATCTTATATTGTTTTTCTGTTTGTTCCTTTCATCCCATTTTAACTGGATATTGTTTTATTGTTTATAACTTTGAGCCTGTTAAGAGGGGTAGAGGAAGGCCTAAGAGAACAACACTCTTAAAAGTTGTTGAACGCAATCTCTTAATTAATAATATTTTTAAAAGTTTGATAAATGATAGAGCATAATAGCGTCTTGCAATTCATGTAGCTCACCCCACCTAGTGGGATAAAGGCTTGTTGTTGTTATTGTTGTATTGTCTTATTGTTTATGCAAAAAAAACTGCAGGACCAGATAACTTGGAGAACCTGAAGAAGCTAGCAGAGCAATTTCAGAGGCAGGCCCCTGAAGCAGGTGCCGGTGCTACTGCTGCACAAGAAGAGGATGACGACGAAGTCCCAGATCTTGTTGCTGGCGAAACCTTCGAGACAGCTGCTGAAGAGACTCCTGCTGCTGCATCCTAGACTTTCACTGGGCCTTCTCTATAATATCTCCTGTGTTTTTTAAGGATTTCTTTTTCCTTTCCTTTTCTTTTTTCTTTTTTCAAATTTAAGCATTTCAAGTGTTTTCTGTTACATACTTCAGCTGACATACTCAAAATCTGGTTTTTCGCCAACCAACTCTAGATGTTGTACTGCTCTAGAGCTTGCCCCATTGTATGTGCATCATAATTGAAGGTAGAAATCAATTTTGCTTATTTACGTTTTCTGTTCCATGGATTTTTATCTGCCACCCACATCCATTGTTGCTTAGTTTTTGTTGGATGGTATTTTGCATCATGTAGTGCCATGGAAAAATCAATTCAAGTTGCACTGATGCTCCATATCTGCATTCCTTCGCAATTTTTTTTTAATGATGGAGATATGTAGAGAGTAGTTCCATGAAATATAGCTGGTGAGGATCAAGTGCCTAACTAAGGTGTGTCAAGTATTTCTTGTTCCTACTAGTTTTCTGGATTCTCCAAGGAGGACAAGGTTGAATTTCCAGCATGATGTATTGTCTATTGTCGTGTGTGCCCAGTGTTTGCTGGTTAGATGAACAGAGAATTCATGAAAATTGGTGAGCTTTTCCTACATTATTGGAAATATTTATAATGCAATACGCTGTAAATTATGTTTTAATTGATTTGCTAAAAATGAATTTCTGATTGTTTGCTTGATTCAACGCATCTAATGTAGCATGTAGACTTGTTCATCTCCACTTGGTTGGACGATATTTTTTCTAGTTATAATCAGGAACTAACTTCTCGATTTCTATTTTGATATTTTTATTCTAATATATTTTAAATGCTAATTATAAAATAATCAGTTGTAATAGTCAATCGTATTAATAAAGCAATAAAAATAGTTTTTTTTTTTGCCAATAATGATGTGAATAATAAAATAATTAATTTTTTAACCAATATGTGTGTGTGTGTGTGTGTGTGTGTAATTTTCTAATCACTTATCACAGATAATTTTTAAACTCTGAAAATACTCTTCTAATTACTGATAAAGAGTTCGTAAAAAAAAAAATGTTCGATGAGGAGGCTGACGTAGAATTTTTTTTCTCCCCATTTAAAAATCGGATTTTGTAATTGCCAAAGAGTTAAAAGCATGTTTTTAAAATTTTTAGGAAAAAAAATATTTTAAAGGAAGGGAAGGAAAAACTTTATCTAATTCTCTATTTTGAACTGAAAACTTCATCTAATTTTCATTCCAAACACATCATATCTTTCATGCCTTTTAAATAGATCTCTCGTTTTCTTGTTTTTTTTTTTTTTTTGTTTTGGGTAACAATTGAATTGATCTTTTCTGCTTAGGTTGAAGTACATTCGCTAACTTAATTCATAAACTTTTAACTTGAAATAATTTAATCACTATAATTTTAGCAATTTAAAACATTGATGTCTGAGTTTAATAATAATCTTATTCTTATATTTTATTTTTTATAATGTGAAGACTAACAACAAACTAAGTACTTAGTTAGAAAAGTCAAAATTTGGGAAATAAATTTTAACCAAGTCAAAATTATAAGGACAACTTATCAAACAAAAATTTAAAGACTGAGTTTTTATTAAAATAAAATTATAAAAGTCAAACGATTAATTTTGCCTTAAAAAAAATTAGGTAAGTTAGATGTATGCAGAGAAATATAAAACTCTATCAATTCAAAAGAATATTGAACTTTTTCACCAAAAAAAAAAAGAATATTGAATTTGGCTACCACAATTTCTTAATTATAATATACACATAAATATCATATTAATCTCTCATACCCTTTAAATAGGTCATTTTGCCCCAGATGATGCTCAAGTAACAGAACTAATTCCAAGCACTATTAGAAGATGTTATAGAAGAAACAGCAGCAACAATTTACATCCACATACATACAAAAAATCATAATCACTAATATCAGAGATTTTCCATGTGTGTCAATGATAACAGCATAAAGTCCAATTGTGTGCTTCAGAGCAAAGCCAGGACCACTACATTTGTTGGCCATTGCTGGAACATGATTCTTCTTTGACTTCGAACATTTCCTCCAGCTAGGAAATCAGCACACGAACTAATCATTTTGGCACAACGTAGAACTGAAAAGCAAGGATTGTAAATTCAGTTTCACAAAATTATGTCATATCAGAATAGTGTCAAGAATTACATGAACAATTGCATACTCACCGTGGTTGAATGAAGTAAAAGTATAGTATTGGCATTTGCCACAAAGCCCCTTTGATTAATATTTTATTTTTTGGGATTAGATCACCTGGTATCCTGACTGCCCTACTTCAACAGGAAGGTTTAACAAGACCCAGATCAAGCTGGGTGGGATCGCAAGGGACAGCAAAGCTTTCTTACCAAGTATTTAATGCAATTGCATTCTTAAGGCTCAAACTCGAGATCGCTAGTTAAATTTGTACACCTTGTCAGTTGAAGCTTGGTGCTAAAACCCTCATTATTTTAGAAGCTTTGATACCATCTCTAGCTTGCCTGAAGCATTGGAACTACTTCACTTATTCTAGAACATCAACAAGCTCATCCATGCCCCAAAAGACATCAAGATAAAAAGTCTTCCACCCTGAAGAATCAAGCCATTGATGGTGTTCAACATTATTAGAGTTGAAAATCAAGTGAGTTAGGCACCAAAGTATCCGATTTTCACCACTCAACTGAGACTACAACAGCAAATGCAGGCCTAATGAAAATGAATCAATTCCAAAAGCCCAGCAATCAATTTTGGCATGATTACGTTTCTTGAGGAATCATGAACAATAGCAGAACTCTTAAGAAAAAAGAGTTATATTGAACAAATGGAAACAATCTAGATTCATACTTTCATACAATACTAGTGGGAATAACTTCATAGTTCATAGGCATCTATTGGTTATCCTATTCTCTTTGAAGTGTTCTAGGACATCTATCAATCTTAAAGAAACAAAGCAAGAGTATATTGAAGGACAATGGATATCTTCAATCATGAGCAACTAATTCATAAATTTCAATATTCTATGTGCCATTAGTTTTTGCCAGTCGTTCGCTTACTGCAACATTGATTGACAAGCTCGGCAATTTAATTTCAGCTTCAAATCAAACTACGAATTAAAAAAAAAAATTAAAAAGTGAAGAGATGATACAAAGGGAGAAGTAGGCAAAAGATATTAATGTCAGTTATAAATAAATTAAAAGATTTCCAACTCCTGTTTAAGAAATAAGCCAAGAGCTAGAACTAATCATTAATTTGATTGATATCACAAAGTTCTTCATTTGTGCCAAATAATATCACCTTCCTTCATAAGACAAAAATACTGACCCCAGATGGAATGACCAACTAAAGCCAGATTGCAATGTTACCAACAAAGTTTGAACTGGTAGGGGATCACAAACCACCTGCAACCAGCAAACTTCAAGGCTAATTATCACTTCACACATTTTCAAAAGCCAGTGCAAGGGTACTGAAAATTTAGGGGGGGAAAAAGAAGGATGAGTTAGAATTAATATGTGCCAAATTATATGGTGATTGATTATGTCAATTATCTAGCATGACTAAAACTGAAGTTTCAATATCTTCCCAATTCTTTTTCAGCAGAGTACTGTTAGTTCAAGTTTTAATTCTCATTTGGCAAACTTCTTTTCAAACAAACAAGATTCCATATCTTTAAACCAAATTCAAACAGAACCATCTCCTATCATATTTACAATAGTAACATGGTTGGTATTTAGAAAAGAAACCAAAGAGAGCAGAACTTCATTTACAAGAAAGGAAGATCCTTACAGAACCATAATGAGCAAGAGTAAAACAAAAACTACTGCATCGATGTGCTGGGAAAATGATGGGTCCTCCTTTCTTCCTCTAATGTTGAAGACCCAAAGAAGATCCAAACTGAAATATCTATGGAAAATTAAGGGCCTATTTGAGTAAACTACATTTGGCATCTGAAAAGCACATCCTGGCATCTAAGATGTTGAAAGCCATTTGGATACGACATAGGTAAAAAAATGTGCTTTTTGAAAGTACTTCTTAAAGTGATTTGCATGTGGATTTGGCAAAGTAACTTAGGAAAGGATTTAAAAAGTGGGTTTCTATTTGACCATATTATCCCTTTAATATATTATTCTTTTATTTAAAAAATATTATTAATTTATTAAAAATATAATCATCATTTAAATAACAATAAAGGTTTGCTCAGTTGGTTAACTTTTTTAATAAATAAAATTATCATATATATTTTTTAAATTATGTTAATTTCCAATGTTAATGTATATTGAATTATTTATATAATGTTTTCAATATATCAAACTTTATATTTTATATTCTTATTATCTAAAATATCAAATTTTATATTATTTAAAAATTTTATCACATTTTTTAAGCATTTTAAATATATTACATTTGTATAATAAAAATTACAAATCATCATAAATCAATATCTTATTTGATAATTGTATATTCAAAAGCATATTTTACTATCATAATCCAAATAATTTTTATCAAGTTGACTTTTGTAAAAATATATCCAAATATAAATTTCGTTATAACAACTAACTTTTATTAAACTAACTTTCGTCAAATGAACTTTTGTGACAAACTGACATTTGGCTAATGGAAAACCAAACGTACACTAAGAGCATGTAGGCCACTCAATCCTGCAAGGAGTGCTCTCTAATTTCTCACCTTCAGTGTAAGTGGATGAACAGAAAAGCCAGGACCAGTAAATTTGGTGGCTATTGCAGCAAGGGACATAGTCCTTTGGTTTTGAATTTGTTCTCCAATTATATTGGTCATCAACATTTTCATCTGCTACAAAATCTCAGATGAACAGATCATTTAATACAACATCATAGAAATGGAAAGCAAGGATGTTAATTTTAAGTTCAGTAAAATTACATAACGAAGCATGAATGAGGAATAGACACTGTCCAAGAATTACATTAAGATTTACATTCTTATCATGGTTGAAGGAAATTAAGTATTGGGATTTTTGCTACAAATCCTCTTCTTAACAGCTTTAACATCACCACCTTGCCTGCAAATTCAAGAAAATATACAATGGTTGAATACATCAAAATAAAAGCTTCTCAAGCTCCAGAATCAAGCCATGGATGGTGGTGGACATTCTTAGAATTGAAAACTAAGTTGAGAACCAAAATATCAGATTTTCACTTCTGAACTGAGAATTCAATGATAATGCAGTCATAATGAAAAGAAGGAAACCCAAAAGCAGTGGCAGAGAGAGGGAGGACTAGCGAGGGTCACAGCCCCACCAATTTGTTAAAATTTTCTTTATATTATATAGGTATTATATACTTTTGACCCCCCTAAAACTTATAAAAACTTTGTAGTATATATATTTTTTAATCTTGGTCCTCCTTATTCTTAAATCCTGGCTCCACCCTTGTCCGAAAGCACAACAATCAATTTTGGCATGACTACATTCCAAGAGGAATTATGGAATGTAATAAAACTCCGCCAGAAAAGAGTGATATGGAGCAATGTATTCAGCTGAGTTTCATACTGTCATAAAATACTATTCGCAATAACTTCATCAGCATATACTATCCATTTCTCTTTGCAAAATTCTATGATAGTTATCAATCATTAAGAAACAGTGACAGAGTAGGAGATATATGCACTAGAGGTGCCTTTGATCTTGAGCAACTCAATTCACAAATTTCGTTATTTTGCAACCTATTAGTTTCAAAACAGTTGCAGTGTTCATACGCCTGGTCACCATCTTTTTCTTTCTGTTTATTTTTCTCAAATTCAAATTGAATTACAAATACTCCCTTCGTCTCAAATTATAAGACAATTTGAGACAAAATCACGCACACCAATAAAACAAAATAATAACACTTTATAAACTTATTTTTCCAAATCAAAACTATAAACTTTCAAAAATACCCCTACAAACTTGAAGGGTAATATTGAAAAAGTATCATTAATAAAACCTTATTTTTCTCAAATTGTTTTATACGTTGGGATAACAAAATCTGACCAAAGTTGCTGTATAATTTGGGACTGAGGGAGTATAAGATGAGCAGAAGGGAATGCAAATGCAGAACAATGTAAGCTTCAACTGTTAAATGTCTATCTTAGACAACTGTCTTTCATCCCAAGTCTTTTCAGCAGAATACTATTGGTCACATTAATCCTCATTTAGCAGAAAACTCATTTGCAGATAAACAAGATTCCATATCTTAAACCAAATTCATATAGGACCATCTCCTATCATAAGATTTGCATCAAACATTCAAAGTTTTCTATTTTCTAACAAATGAAAAGTACCACACACACACACACACACACACAAAAAGCTTTTTGACAGTTACTGTCCAATTCTCGAACCTACAAATAACTTTGTCCAGGAAATCAAATCCCTAAAAAAAGAAAAATCAAAGCAGAACTTTAATTTTAAGAAATAACTTTATCTTCCCATTGTAACACAGCAGAAAGATATTTTAATTGCAAGGGTTTGATAGTGTATGGGTTTTAGTTTATGAGAATAATTTCCAACATAATACAGAACAAAGAAGTGACTACAAAATATAACGTCTTTATGTGAAGAAGAAAGTTAAAATTTTAAAAGTGAAGTTGACACATTAGTATAAGGTGAAAGAAATACCTGCAAGGGCTTTAGAAGCTTAAGAAACTCCTGTAATGTAGTTATAGCAAATCCTGTACCCAAGGAATTTGAGAAATTTTATGTCACTCTGGTTCCTTCATAAGACCCAAAAACAAAAATTCCTTTGGTGGAAGTGAAATCAAAATTTACGCCAAAGTCTGAACTGTTAGCTTAACTACTCTGCAACCAGCGAAAGCTATTATTAATAAAAGCTGTTGAAGAAAATCAGCAAAAGTTACAACGGGTTCTAATTCAATTCTTGAGCATCATTGAAGCCAAAATTTCAATATTTTATAACAAAAAGGCAAGAAATGCCTTTCTTAATTGCATTTCGTCCTCTTTCCTTTAAACAAATTAACCTAAAACTTTCAATTGTAAATCAGAATCTTAACGAAAAAGGGAAACGCTTTTTTTAATTCCCAATGCTTCTCGAACATTAAAAAGTGAAGAATCGATAGCAAATTTTTCTCTCAATGAATAGGATTCCATATCTCCTATCACATCACAGTAGTCAAAACATCAGTTTTGAATTCTCTTGTATATGTAAAACAAGGCTTGTACAGAGAAATTTCTAAGTCTTTCCAGAACAATACTTGCATTTTCTCAGTTCCTTGCCTCTTCACTTTACATCAATCTGTATTATTGATCCAAAGTTTTCTATTTTCTTACAAATGAAAAGAAAAAATCAGGTACAACTTTTGAACACCTACCATCACATTCTTTTAAACATAAAGAACTTTGTCTGGGAAATCAAACGTTTAGAAAAAGAAACCAAACAGAGAAGAATTTTATCTGCCAAGAAAGGAAGATCCTTACAGAACCATAATGAGCAAGAGCACAATAAGAGCGGCAGCCACACTCCTTTGATGGAAAATGATGGATCCTTCTTTGTTACTTTCATGGTGAAGAGCCAAACAATAACCGAACTGAAGCATCCAACACCAATTGTTCTTCTGCTCTTTGACAACTGCCCAAATGGAGATTCCGAGAAACTATGCATAGTCCGAATCAATGGTCTCCAGCTCAGCATTTCTGCATATGGAGCAAAAACAAAAAGCTTATGCAAATGAGACGGCATCATGTTTGAAAACACAAAAAATTGCAGATGTGAATGTGTTATAGATGACTAAGAAAGCCCTGCCTGACAATAAACTTTTGAGCTTGTTAAGGATGATGACAATCCCAGAGTCATGTATAACTATGCATTAAAGATGATCATGGATATAGTATTATGATTTCCTCCTCCAAGCTCATATATATATATATATATATATAAATTATTCTCATATTAGAGTAAATCGTTATCTCTATTTCAATAAATAAAAACTCCAAATCTTCAAGATATTCATCTACCTAAGTAGAAATATTTTAAAATTGGAACTTTTATGTTCTAAAATTGATATTCATCTATATAAAAAGTATTTACATATAATCACAAAAAAATATTAACATTCTCAAAATACACAATTTAACATATATAATTTAAAATAAAACGGTCTAATATCTTTGTTTCATTGAACAAGTCTCTACTAATTCTAATAATTATCCCCTCCATTAAAAATGTAAGGCATTTTTAAATGAATCATGACCTCCAATCAAATAGTTCGTTTTCTATAAATTAACACCATATTTTCATATTTACCCCTATTTAATAGGATGTTTCACTTTCAAATAAATATAAAATGATTTACTTATTAAGGGCACTTTTAGAAAATACACATTAATTACATCTTGAAACACTAAAAATGCCTTACATTTTTTAACATTCAAGCTCTCAAAAATTGCCTTACATTTTTTATCAGAAAGAGTAATAGATATCTTAGTTGTTCAGCCAAAAGGGGAAGAAAAAAAAGATACCTTAATTACTTAGTGATCATACATAAAGGTGATGAAGCAAAAGATTATTAAGACTTAGACAGTGGAAACAAATGGCTTTATATAATAAATGAGTCATACCAATTTCAGATATTACACAACATATGATGACCTTTTTTTGATCTAAGAACTTATGATGACTTGAACAAACTAATCGAGATAGTAGCATAAAGTATAAGTACCTATAAGAGCGTATTATAAGCTCATAAAACTCATGGCATGTAGTTTCATCCAATAAATACCAGTCGAATGTGAGAAATTATAGGCCAGCCTGGTCCATCCTCTTTTTGGTACTGCTGCTTTAGTAATGTACAATTTCCAGAAATCCATAATTGAGAGAGGGATTTGGGTAAACCTTCCTCTGGCAAGCATTGGAGATTTGGGCAATTGGAAATATGTAGGCATTGAAGAGATGTGAGGGAGAGAAGACCGTTGTTGTTTATTTTTGTCAAGTTTGAACATCTATCAATATAAAGACATTTTAGATTGGGTGGCATATGTTCCTCTTCTAGGAAAGACTCAACATTTTCAAACTCATGAGCACCCACTAATAAATCTCGTAGAGAATGAAGTCTGTGCAAGCCCCATCTCATGCGAGAAGCAATGAGTTTGGGGCAATCATGGATTGAAATGTGGACAAGGCTTGAAGGCAAACATCTTTGAGAAACCAATTGCAGCTGTGGACAGTGATATAGCTGTAAATAACGAAGAGAAGGAAGAAGTGCATGCATGTCTTCATGCAGTGACTTAAAATGGGTCATGGAAGAAAGGGAGATCCATTCAAGTTTTGGATAAGAGAAATCTGTCATAGGGAATGATTCAAGTTCCAGGTCTTGACATCCTTCAATTTGTAGATATTCTAAGCATGGAAGGTGTAGAGGAAGGGACTTCCTTAATATGGGACAATTTCTAATAGAAAACTTATTAAGGCAGGGGAAACATCCACCATCAAAATGCATCCATTCTTCCAATTCACCCATATCAGAAATGTGAAAATATTCAAGGGATGGAAAAGGAGCAAGTGACAAATTTTCCCCATAAAACTCTAACCCAATCTTCTTTATGCCTTCTAATTGAGAAATATGAAGCATCTTTAGAGAGGGTAGCTGCCCAAGTGATGGTAAACAAAAGCAATATTTACAAGCCCGCAACTCAAGAGATACTAAATTGGGTAGATAAGGAGAATCAATCCAATTTGCAAACCTTGTGCCACCGTAGTTGTGAATAAAAAGCTTTTTCAAGTTGACATGAGGTTGGAGAACCTCTAAGATGGACCTTTCATTTTGTGAATCCTCATTGTTTCCAATCCATTTCAAATATAATTCATTTAAGTACTTCTTATCTTTCATTTTGGCCTCTCTGGCATCTATTGCATCATTTATATTTTCCAACTGAGAAATTTGAAGACAGCCTTGAAGATAATTGAGTTTCCCTAACTCCTTAGTATTAGACCCACTTTGCTTTCCCACATAAAAGGCAGTCAAATTTTTAAGATGCTTTAACCTTCCAATGTTCATTGGCATCTCCCTTATATTTGTCCCATGCAAATCAAGATGATGAAGATTGATGATCATATCAAAATTGGGCGGTAAATCAACCAATGATGAACATTGTCGCAATTTCAGAGTATGCAAATTATGCAATTTACAAAGTGAATCGGGTAATTTGCTGATCCTAGTTTGAGAAAGGTCCAGATAACGCAGATTGATCAATTTGTACAAATCCAGAGGTAACTCAAAAATTTGATTGCATCCAAGCAATTTTAAAGTCTGCAAATTGTACATTATACAAATTGAATCTGGTAATTTTTCTATTCTAGTGTGAGAAAGGTCTAAATAACGAAGGTGCTTTAAATTGCTTATACAATCACCCAATTTATTAATGGTTTCATGACTTTGCAAGTCCAAAATTCGCAAGTGCTTAAATCTTGACAACATTTCACCCACATCTTTACCCTCGACAATGGAGGATTGTAGTGGTGAGAGTGGTAGGAAGCCATGTAATAACTTACACTCACAAATAGATTCTAACAACATTTTGTTATCAATTGTACCTGAGCATGAAAAGTAGCGGATCTTTCTTTGAATGTGTTGCACATTACCACCCTCTACTCTTGAACAAAATCCATCAGAGATTGAATTTGCTAGATCATTTAAAAGATCATGCATGATTAACTTGTCATGACCAAATCTCGAGTTCTGGAAAAAAGACCTTGATTTTAATTCACTCAAGACTTCATTCCCTATTTCTTTCATACTTTTTTTCCCTTGATGACAATGCAACAACTCTTCTGCCATCCACATCTGGATTAGAGAATCCTTGTCAATATCGTAGTCTTTAGGAAATATAGAACAAAATGCAAAACACCTCTTCAAATTAGAAGGTAGGTAATGGTAGCTTAATCTTAAAGCTGGCATTATATCAGTCTCACCATCTAACTGCCATATCTCACTATGAAGAATTTCATTCCAGTGTTTCTCTGATAATTTTTTATTTAGGAGGCCACCCAATGTTTTTATGGCTAAAGGCAATCCTTTGCACTTTTGAACAATTTTTTCACCAATTGACTCAAGATTTGGACACATGCTAGAATCCTTGTTTTTGAATGCACGTTCAGCAAATACCTTCCGCCCATCTTCTTCATTTAGTAAAGGTATGCGATGCAATCTAATTGAACCCACAATGGACGCTACTTTTCCACTGCGTGTTGTGACCAGGATCTTACTTCCCAAATCTCCACAAGAGAAAGGAATTTGCAAGGCTTCCCAATTGGATTGGCGCTCATTCCAGACATCATCAAGAACTAGCAAAAATTTCTTCCCCATCAGTTTCTCTTTCAGTTTTAGTTGAAGCTGATTCAGGTCTTCATAATTTGTTAGTGAACATCCCAGCGCAGAAAGTATTGTTTTTGTAATTCTAACAACATCAAATTCTTCTGAGATACATACCCAAGCTTTGAGTTGAAACTGATCCTCCATCCTTGCATCATTGTACACTAGCTGAGCAAGAGTGGTCTTACCCAACCCACCCATACCTACTATAGAAATCACAGATAGAGGGTTCCTACTCAAATCATCATCAAGTAAAAGCTCAATTATTTGTTCTTTATCACCATCTCTACCATATATACTGGAATCATCAACTACCAGAGACGTAGTCGGCAATCTATCTGATACTCTCCCACCAACTCCAATTTCACAACCACCACCAGAGCCTTCCTTCAATCGGAGAGCATCCTTTTGTTTTGCAAGGAACTCCAGGTCGTCAAGAACTTCCTGGATTCTAGCTTCCACGTGTTTGTCAAATGGATTAACAAAAGTAAAGAAGCCTCGTGCCTTACTGGTCGCAGTTTGATTCTCAGCTTCGAACTTCAACCTGGTTGCCTCAGTAGCAATCTCATCTAAGAGGTCATCAGCGACATACACAGCGTGTTTGAGCTCATGAAGCCACTTCTTGACATTGGGGTTAGTGTACTGCCTTGCTTCTGCATCATCAAGCACTTGATTCACAGCAATGAGGGTAATGTGAAGCTTTTTGAGCAAGCTATCCTCGAGCTTTCTTGATCGGAAGTAGTGAGTTATGACAGAAGTAGAAGACAGCCTATCAAATGCAACTTGGAGAGCAGCAGAGAGAAACGCTCCACCCACAAGCTCAGCAGCCATGGTTTCTGCTATATGCTTCGTTTCTCGATAGAAGTCTGGCTTTGGTTGGATTCTCTTTTTAGGACTACACATCCAGCTATAGACAAGTTATCTATTTGCATCAACGAACCCTCACGAGAAGAAAAGTCGTGAGTAACCCATATTTTGGTTGATGACGACTCCTTGTTTGCATTCTTTAGTTTGACAATATCAATATATCTAATATAACTATTTCCCTAGAGAATCCTTATCTACACTATGTTGTCTTTTCTTTATTTTGTCCTCATGCGGTATTTGAAGACACCGTGTAATTTTATTGGGTCAATTCCTCTGGGAATATTTCAGGTACGCTAAAGCATCGGTGTGCAATAAGCTCATTTCACTTTTTTTCCTCTTTCCCCACGGCTTCATGATTCAATGAGATGGTAAGACTTTCCTATCCCTTGGTTATTAGTTATTATCGATGCGTCAGCCTTTTATACTCAAAATTGTCCACGTCTTCACTTTCATCAGTAACTTTAATTCTTTTGTTCAGGGGTTGTTGCACGAAATTGGGACCCTAATGTCTCTGCCTTCTTGCACGAAAAAAGACAAAGTAACGCCTTTTCTCCGCTGCCGTTAAAGCACGCCCTGCATTTTTCTATTTTTGTGATTTGTCCTCTTAAGAGCAGGCCTGAAAAAATCAGTCCATTGAATGAATTCACTTCAGCTATCATTTTCCTACCAAGCTTTCTATCAATAAGAAGGTCATGGCCATTCTGATCTTCCCATAAACTACGTTGATCATTTATTTTTTATGGGCGACTTGTCCCTATCAAATGTAGGCTTAAAAAAATATTGGTCCATTAACCGAACGCATCTTCCCCTCCTCAGAAGTTCAGCGTCTCCTTCAGCCAGGAACTCAAGTGTCTTCTCCCCATAGAACTCCAACTTGCAAATGGCGTACCATAATCGACGGCCTTTGCAACAGCTTCTTTACCAGACTCTGACGGGAACAGCCTTCCTTCGGTGCTTCTGTAAGTTCCAGCTCCTTCCTTGTCCTCGTGCTTCATCCTCTATCTCCTTCCTCTAGCGTCGATGTCCTTCCGGTGCTTCTTCATCCAAGTTCGACTTCTGCCTCTGTCCTCCTTTATTTTGGGTGTCCTCTGCAGAGTATGATTTTTTTTTTCCTTCCTCCTCTTGCCTCCGACCTCTGCATGTTGTCTCTCTACGTGTATGTGGATTTTTTTTATTTTTTAATCTTCGTTGAGTAGTTATATTTGAGAATTTCTAACTATGAATATATGCTATTAAGAAGATAAGCTTTTTCTTTTTCATTACTAGATGTTTACTAGACATGCGATGTTCTTGTACTCATTTCCTTTCTTGCTCTCATTTATGAGACTGATGGAGACGAACCAAGCAACGTTCCTCAGTCTTGGTCTTAAAATCCTTTTTGTTTTTTTTCGTCTTCTAACTTCTCTTATCTTTTCATTTCTCCAGTTGTTTGTCACGCCACTCCCTCCTTCGGAAGATGCTCTCCAATTATCCCTTTATTGTAGCTCTGTTTGAAATTTATTATTATTATTTTTGCTTCAAGGGAAGTGCTTTCCTTTCACATATGTGAGTTTTAGAAATCAAAACGATGAAAGAAGGAGAAGGGAGTGAGTACAAGAAGGAACTATGGACGGAGGAAGAAGACAAGTTTTTGATGGAATGCGTCAGGTTAATGGAAGAGTATATGGTGCAGAACATTGTTACATCTCTTTTGTATGCTCTTTTACAGTGAGGACTAGCTTATTACATGTTTTAGAGCTACAAATTTATTATTTGTGCAATGGAAGGGCTTTTCCTTTTTTGGTTAAATATGGCAGGACTTTATTTTAACCAAGAGTTTGTGGCTTGTCATTGCCCATAGAATTAAAACATGGATCACTGGTGGTGTTTCTCTCTCTGCCAATCTGACATAATAAAAATGCTGACCTTTTAGCGCAGCCTCACATTTACATTTATATTATCCATTAGGTGTTCTTTGTTATTGGGCTCATGAGTTTGGCTTCTAGACTACCATCGAATTTAATTTTTTATTCTCATGTTTTCCCCAAGCTTATATGGGTTAAAGTGTTATTTTTTATCCAGTTCCATTTTGATAACGTCATATTTCTGTTCTGTGAAAGAAAATAATGTAATTTTTCTGGATTTGTAGTTAAATTGCCCAAATTATTGTTCCATGCTAATTTGAAATGGAGACGATGATGCAACTGCAGACGAAATTGTTGACTTTCCAACTAAGAAGACACATGGAAATAAATAGTATACATACAGATGATCGGCATGGAAACTTACCTGAGATATTATATATATTATTTGATTTTTTTGATTCTAGAAATGCATATTTAAGTATGATGTTTATATATACATGAATTAATGGTTTGAGTTAAATAATTATAATAATTCGGCACGTAGCATTTTTTTAACTTTTATCTTAAAAGCCTATTTTAAAAGTAACTATTGATGAAAAGTTGAAATATTGTCATGAATGGGGAATAGCATCTAAATGAGGGAGCTATTATTTTGGCTATCTTATTTGAATTTGAATTGTATAAAAATCTAAGAGGTATGCTGAATCACTACATTTTGTTTTTCAATCTGGGTTTGGTTTTAACATGATGCCAATCTCTCTAGGAACAATTCATGAAGCTAACTATCAGGAAAACTACTTCACTTTCCTACAACTTATGAGTAGCTACTGATAAGAAGTAGAAAGATTTGCATGAAGCGGAAAGGATATAAGAATATGAGTGTATTGTTAGTTCAGTTCTTTAAGTTGTTTCTTATTATGGTTGTTTCAAGAAAAAGTAGTGGCTTAAATTATCATCAGCCTGATGTTGTCATATGATAAAGATGCTATCATTTTCAATATCTATTGTTAAATTATATTACTTTCTACTTATAGAGTATTGGTTTTTATTAAATTATTGGAGCCATGTTTCTCTTGTGCATTTCTTCAGTTTGCCTAAATAGATTACGCACAAGCTTTTTATGTCACCTCACCCTAACTACATTGGAGGAGAATCAGTCCATGAATGCATAAGTATATTTGCTCAATAGCAAAAACCAAAACAGAATGCTTGGAAAGTACTCTCACCAAGTGAAAATGACTTCATTTTTTCACTCCTAAACATTAATAAAGCATACCTAAGGTTCTTTGGTGTTTTAATTTCAGCCATAGGAAAGAAAGCAAGATGATGGAGTAACTTGGATAGGGAAGAAGAATGGGATGTGAAGTTTCTTCATTAAGAAGAGAAACACCCCGAAACATGAATGAAGCATACCTAAGGTTCTTTGGTGTTTTTCTTTTGGCTACAAGAAAGAAAGGAAGATGATGGAGTAACTTTAATAGGGAAGAAGAATGGGATGTGAAGTTTCTTCATTAAGAAGAGAATGATAAGGCTCATTACTTTTAAGTTGAGGAGTAGATTCACAAGGCTTATTACTAGAAGGTTTGGATTTTATCAGTACTCTGTTGCTTTGGTTTTTCTTGAAACTTTCTCTGCTGCAATTCACTAATCTGATTGTTGATGATGTATCAAGATTTTTTTCCTATTAGTTTTCATTTTTATTTTTATTTTGAGGAACCATAGTTCTTCAATTATATAAATAACTTGTAAATTTCTATCAATTTTCACTTAATTTGATCTTTTGCTATTATAATCATTAGTCAAGTTGTATTGCCTATTTTTGTGGCAACCCAATTGGTATGTTAAATGTAACTCCATGATGCATATATGTTCTTCCAGTTCTCACACCTATTCCTTTTAGTGTATATCAACTCAATGCTAAGCTAGATCTTGATCCTTCTCTCTCATTGTGATATTGTAGAAATTCACTCACAGTTATTAGGTGAAAAAGCTAAAGCAAAAGAAGTCTTGGTAGCTGGATGATTATATTGAAATCTCTATCAAGTTCCTAACCTTTTCGTGTTATTTCAAATATACATATATATACATATATGTATGTATGTATTGTGTGTTGAATTGATCTTAGATTGGCAGTACTGCATAGGCTTGGAAGGAATATTATGATTTATCACAGAAAAAATAAAAATTAAATCCACTCTAGCGTGGTAGGTACCAAATAGATCCATTTGTGTTATTTCTTAGGGAAATATTAGATGGTTCGTTCCTTTTCATTTATGCTAAAATTGGCAAGTATGTGTAGTTGATTTGATCTATGACAATGATGGATTATGCACCTTACATCAATCGTTTTGGCCTCCCTATGGTTTTTTTTCCCTTACAGTGAATGAAGTGAATTTTTAATATTCAGTATGTAAAAAAGTTAATCAAAGTAAATTAGACTGCTTCATTGAAAAGCAATCTCTCCCTAATATCTATATAAAGTTCTATCATTCTTTTTAGTTTTCCTTCTGCAGTTTTATTTCTTTTGCAGTCTATTTTTCTAGGACATCAAATGCAAGGATACCATCTTATCTTCTAAAGATGCTTTAAACTTTATAATTTTCAAGTCTAGAGAAAAATCTGAAGTAGTATTGCGTGTCATAAAAATCTTTGCTTTGCATGAATGCACTGATGTATAAGTTATATCTTTGCTTTGCTTTTCACATCATATTTCATTGCAAGCAAATTCCAGGGTATAGAATTATCTGCATAAATCCTTTTTAACCATCTCATGCTTTGAAATTAGTTTCAGTGATAGGTGTTCATGTTCTTCTTCCAGATGAAGTACTGGTAGACAATACTAAACTGCTTTTCTATGTTTGGATTTATTTAGCAAGATTCAGTAGTAGAGTCACAGCAGGCAGTGTACTTCAGAATACATATTTGTATTGATTGAATATCAGTACAAAATCAAAACAAAAACATGACAGCACCTATACACAAACAAACTTTCATTTAATAGAGGCTAGAAGAAGGTATAATTGATATTTTGTTGCGCTATGGAGCCAAAGCAATTTCCTGGAGCCTTCTCTGCCTCCCATTCCCATGAATGTTTTGTAATTTTGTAGTGGGGGAATGTTTAATTTCTATCAACATTGTGTTCGAATGTTATTTACTTGATATGTAATTGCCTGTAGAAGTAGTCATTAACGCAGCGGTTGCTACCATCAAGGATCTTCAATTTACTTTAAAGAAGATAGT